TGGTGAATGATCTCAATGCATCGTTTAATACCAGAACTGGGTGTGCTGAAGGCTTTCGTTGGCACAGACGAGGTTAAACATACCTGCAGCATTTTGGGATGATTTTTCATTCAAAATGTCTTCAGGTAACAAGTAATACAAAACAAACATCATCATCATCATTATTATTATTATTATTATTAATGTTCTTCATGGACTTTTGTCAGTCTCCTCATTCTCATGCAAAAAGGTCTACATAAGGATGCAGGTTGGGTTCTGGTTGTAGGCTAAGATCTCTGAGGCTCTTCTAAAATCTGTTTGGTCTTTGCTAAAATGCAGACGAAGCTCTTTATGCAGTTCAGGACTGAACAAGCCCTGGTGCTTCTCAGGGTTCTTCACAGCAGCTCGCCGGACACGTGTTTTCTCTGACGCTGCGTCAGATCCTGGATGTGACATCCACTTTGGCTCACTGTGACAGCCGCTTTAATCCTTTAGGGACAAGAAGCCACGAGGACACCGCTGACCTCCTCAGTCCCCCTTCCCTCTGCTGAAGGGTCTGTGCTGTCATTTCCCAGACTCATTTTGGCGGTATGACCACAAGGGACGCCCCTCTCCGCGGTCTCCACATCAGCACCTGAGCATCGTTGGCGTTTGGCCTTCCCAGCGCATTGGGGGGGATCGGTTCCTGGTAATTGAGTATGTGCGGCTGCTCCTGGTAGGGACGCCCCACCAGCGATGCCCGAGAGCCCAGCGGCATGTCTGGATCCACAGCAATGTCCACCCGCATCCGCCACTGCACCGTCTGCAACACGATACGCTCCTGCAGGAGGACGGAGGCACGTGTTACCTGGGTTCAGCTGATTACGAGGGAATAACAAAGCAATCTGATGAAAGAATGGGCAGAGGTTCTAAAAACTGCTGAGAGACGTGCGGTTAGTCAGTCTAGTGATGTATTTAAAAATCAGTGATTGGAGCTAGTTGTGAACACAATGAGCTAATCCATCTCTGTGAGCCGGCCTCTGAGCTCCACAGTTTCATTGCCACCTCCGTCTAGTCTGGTGCAGCGCTGAAGGCAGTTACTTGGTCATTTGTAACTTTACACCAGGAGTTAAAAGGGAAATGGAGCTGAAACCATCCCAGTCTGTCTGTGTCTGGCTGCTGGTCTGGTTCCAGACTAAACCATTTCTGTTGAACAGAAGCAACGGTTCTGAGAACAAGAGAGGAAACCGTCTTCCTGTGTTCCGGTCCTACCTTGCTGACGGAGTTCATGGCCACCAGCCAGGTGATGAAGCTCTGGTCCCGGGTGATGTGGGTCAGCATGGGGGTGTTGCTGTTGCTGATGGGGACGGCCCAGGTCACGCTGGGGTAGAAGTTGTCGTTCATGCTGACCGTTAGGCGCGACGGTTTGGATGTAGGGCCGGTCAGCGTCACCGTCTCTGTTGTGTTGCCATACCAGGGGTAGCTGACTCCATCTGAGTCACTGATGGCCTTGACTCGACCTTCTCGCAGCTCTGGTAGCTCCCAGCTGGACCTGCAGCAGCAGATGGAGGTATAGAGGAGAGGTAGGTGAGATATTCCTAGATGTCATACACATGCTAGCCTGGCGGTGTCCTGTGCACACTTACATGCCAATATCACCATACGTGTTGTAGAACTCCATCTGGGTGCAGGCTTGGATCCAGCCCACCACCCATGTCTCGTTGCGGGGCACGGGTGGCATCACAACTCCTGCTGAAGCTCTGAAGTAGGGCGTCTTATAACGAAGCACGATTGGAGAGTTCTCCTCGATGATGGTGGGACACTGGTCGATGGAGGCGGACACCTCGTAGACCACGATGTTCTCGCGTCTGATGCGGGGCTTGCACGCGATGCTCTGAATGCAGCCCATAGCGCAGGTGAAGAGCAGAACGAGCAGAACCAGAGAGAGCAAGTGAAACCTGGACAGTATGCTCATCAGTCCCCTCCAGCCTCCACCCAATGGAGAGCAAACCGAACCTTTAACTGCACATCACCACTGACTGGCTGGGGTTAAAGAAGTTCGGAGGATGGTTTGAAAGTCAAGGGAGCAAGCCAACATCCGCCATCATTTCTCCAGCATGGTGTAGAAAGTGGAGTTAGGGGGGAGTATGTCACAGATCTCCGCAGCCTCCTCCCCCCGGTCTGACTGCTGACTGCCGCACTGCCCTTGGCACTCGTCCCCGCAAACTACAATCCGGCCTCCCCGAGGCTGCTGCTGGCTCCCCGCCGCGCGTCCTCTGCTCCCCGTCGAGTCCGCACGTCCGGCCGCACGTCGGTGCCCCTGAATCCTGCTGCCCTGCTCCCGGCTCCGAGCTGTCATGTCAGGAGGCGACAGGGCAGCCAGGTGCGTCAACGGAGGAGGGCTGGGGTACCTTTGTTCGCTGGCTTTCCTCGTTTCAGCCCAGGATTCACACGGAGCCCACCCAACTCAAAATGGAGCTCTTCATCACTCAGACCTGTATGAAGAAGATGCGACTTCGTGCTGAAAAGGCGGGCCGGCGGGGCTGCAGCGGACTATTGTGACGCTCTCCCCGAAGCGGGCTTCCATTCTCGGAGACGCATGAATGGTGCATGATGAATGGAAGCAGCAAGGCAGAATAACCGTGATAAAAGCATCCCGCCCGCCGGTACCGTGTCACCGGGCGGTCCAGCACAACTCACCAGAGAGCATCCTCTTCCGGCGGGGTCGCTGCTCGGTTTGGAGGTGCTGATGCTGTAGCGGAGGGAGGGGCGGGGAGGGGCGCCACCCAGTCTCTGCATTAAAAATAACAAGCACGTGGGGGCGTGGCCACGAGACCGCATCACGGCCCCGGCGCGAAGCCCCATTGGTCGGAGAGGTCCATAGCGGAAGTGATGTGGCCTTGCCCAGCGGCAGAAACGGACACGCATTCACCGGTCTGCTCCCTCCGGGGCTAGTTAATGTTCGTCCGCGTCGTCGGTAGCTTGTGTCAGAGAGTACCCAGCGTGTTAACCCGGCGGTCGGTGATGACGAAGCCGAACGTTGTCTTCGTGCTGGGCGGGCCCGGCGCCGGCAAAGGGACCCAGTGTTCCAAAATAGTGGAGGTATGAAAGAAAACGGAGGATTTGGTGTTTTTCCCCTCGGGAGGAGAAGTGGACCGGCTCGGGCCTGAAGAATTCTGCTGATGTTTTACTGTTGTTCATGAAATTAGGATTAAATCTCAGTCACTTCCGGTTGCCTTCTTCACGCGTGCTAGCCAGCCGCAGCTAGCTGCTTAGCATCGTAGCTTAGCTGTCTAAATCTGTGTGGTACCAACAAACTCCAGCTGTAGAGTTTACTGGGCCGCCGGTTCTGGTCTCTTTCCTGACCGGAACCACCGGTTCGTGCCCGAATGAACGACATGATCAGTAGGTGAGCCGGTGACAGGACACAGGAAGTCTTATCACTGGTTCATCTGTGCAGGTGCGGTGACGTCACGATGACACGTGACTAAACAAACAGGCAGGCTGCGTGAAGGCTTGGTAAACATTCTGCTTCAGCCATGACTGTGATCTGAAAGAGCCACGCTTCATCTGCGTACAGCAGTGTGAAGGGTCCGCTGCTGATGGGGAGGAGGAGGAATCAGCCGATGGCAGCTCTCTGAACAACCTCAGTGTGGAGTAGAGGTCGACCTCATTGGTTTATCTATTGCAGATGCCGATCAGCTGATTCTGCAACAGCACCTGGCTGCCTGAGGATGCGCCTGACTTCCAGTCGGCTTTAGGGACAGAAATCGGCCGAGGGTTTGGAGCGGTGGAGATTGGCTCCGTCTGCACAGTTTCAGCCTGTAGAGATCCATAGCAGATGATGCAGTTTGCCAATAACTTTTATGCTTGACATTGTTTATTCCACAAGCTTTTTACAGCAGAACTGGATTTGGAAAATGATGAAATTTCATAATAATCCTACAAACAAACCCAAGAAATGAGATGTTTATTTCCACGTAAAGGCCAGATTATTCTAACAACTGTCCAAACGGCTTCGGAGCTGAAAGATCGGAGTTCTTTAAGCTACAATCCAGAGTTCCCTTCTTTCAGAAACAACTTGTGCTTTTGTTTTATACATCCTTGAGAGCGATGGTCTTCCGTAGTTCTGCGATATCGTCTAGGCAGTTAGCCATTTGGAGTTTTTGCTGAACCTGTCTCGTGTCGCCTCGTGCAGTTTAAGTTGTGCGCCACCAACAGCGTTGGACATCGGCCTACGTACTGATGTCAGTCGCTGAGTGCCACAGATGTGTGTGTACATATGAGTGAACAGCACGATTGCTTCAGCTCTGTTGGCCAGCTGCAGGTGCGTTCATGAAGGAGAGGCTCATTTGCTTACACCCGTCCTCAATGAGTAGGTAGGGAAGTTCGAGGTGCGATACCGTTGCTGTTGGAGACAAACCTGCTTTGAGGCAGCCGCCTGCTTTGGGAATAATCAGAAAGAATAATCTGTTTCTCTAAACTGGGAGTGTTCACAGACTCCCAGCAGCAGCAGCTGATGTGTTATCCGGTCATCTCGCCACAGAAGCCCAGCGCTGACGCCTCAAGTGCTAATTTGATGCTTCCTGTGGAGGTTTGTTTACTCCCTTTTGTTTATTTGTTTGTTTCTCAGACCTATAAATGCACCCACCTGTCAGCGGGGGACCTGCTCAGAGAAGAGCGATGCAGAGCCGAGTCTAAGGATGGACAGCTCATTGACGCCTACATCAAAGAAGGCAAAATAGTTCCTGTGGAGATCACCATCAACCTCCTCAGGAAGGTGAGCCTGACGTTCATGTTCAGAGTCCAGCTCAGCGTCCTCCAGCGGGGCTCGTCCTTCCAGTGGTTGCTTGGCATTTCATGTTTCCATGGCGACCTGATTAGTAGAAAGTGGGTCCGGTCAGCTAGCTGATGACCCAGATGGAAGTCACCACAATCGGAGAAACAGAGCTTTATCATCATAAATAAATAAATACAGTACATTCTGTTAAACTTCTGATTCCGTTCTGAGAAAACTTATTCATCACAGCAATTGCTTACTCTTTCATATCCTTATATCATGTTTTCTCGAGCCAAGAAGTACTAAAATGACGAGAGAGGAGAGGAGAAGAGAGAGAGAGAGAGAGAGAGAGGAGAGAGAGAGAGAGAGAGGAGAGAGAGAGAGAGAGAGAGAGAGAGAGAGAGAGAGAGAGTGAGAGAGAGAGAGAGAGAGAGAGAGAGAGAGAGAGAGAGAGAGAGAGAGAGAGAGAGAGAGAGGAGAGAGAGAGAGAGAGAGAGAGAGAGAGAGAGAGAGAGAGAGAGAGAGAGAGAGAGAGAGAGAGAAGAGAGAGAGAGAGAGAGAGATGAGAGAGAGAGAGAAGGAGAGAAGAGAGAGAGAGAGAGAGAGAGAGACGAGAGAGAGAGAGAGAGAAGAGAGAGAGTGAGAGAGAGAGAGAGAAGAGAGAGAGAGAGACGAGAGAGAGAGAGAGAGAGAGAGAGAGAGAGAGAGAGAGCTAGAAAAACCAGCAAAATGAAATGTTTACCTCTCATCCAGACATTTACATCCACTCACGACTCGAACAAGATGGCTGGAAATGTCTGTTATACAGAGCCGCGGCTGCAACAAGTTGTCGTTGGTGCTCCAGACTTGGGACTTTCATGTGTATCCAAACCATTTATAATGCTTATTTTGTCCACATACCTGTCCTCCATGTCTGTATTGAATGTATCCAGGTTGGGCTGGCCTATCTGGCATTCTGGCAACTGTCCCAGTGGGACGCTTGCCTAGGGTGACCAGACTTTTCCCCAGACACGTCCACTTTTCACTCTCTGTCCGGGGACATTTCCTATATTGATAAAAATGTCAGTTTTTTTCTTTCAGGAGCAGAGTTCGAATTAGACGTGGATCCAGGAAGAGCTCGAAAAAAAGATCTTGTTTCTACCTATATTACATTATCTATACGGACTCTCAGCGTACTGGGATTCTTATGAGTAGAGAGCGAGTGCTGACTGTTGATGCGCTCCACGCAGCTGCGTCCTGCAAAGGGCACATTCTCATAGTGGCGCAACCAAAAAAATTATAATTCACACACGATTGTTGATGTCATTTCATATTCTCTGGTGCCTCGTCTTCTGTTCAAGCCGGACGCGCTCCGCTAATGCAGTGGCTACTGTGCTTTGGCGATGCGGCCGCGTAGCGAGCACTGCGGTCGACATTTAATCTGCTTGGTTCAAAAGTATCTCATGAAGGGAAAAATGAGGAAGCCAGGCAGCAGTTTTTTCTGGAGAAATGAGAGGAGAAGCAGGAAGATCAGAGACAGGACGGGGAAATAGTCAAATAAAAAACAAGATTAATCCCACTACACCTGTGGGCTGCGGTCAATCAGCTGAAACTGTTGAGGGAAGTTTGTCAAAACTAAATCACAGGAGATGTCCAGAGTTTGGAAGCGTGTGCGTTTCATTAGCGTTAATGAGCCGTTACGGCAGATAGGACTTTACTGTCGCCCAGATTATTTTCTGAAACCAGGTCTGTATAACCGACGCTACCCCGTCCTCTTTAGAGGCGCGTCTTCATCCACCTGCAGCTGAAAGTGGACAGAAACGGGGATCTGTGCTGCAACCCGATCGATAATCCGCGTGTTTCCAGCAGAACACGTTGGTGCAAGAGTCAGATTTTATTTTACTTCCTCAAAATTAATTTAACATTAGATATTACAGAAGACGAGCACGGCTCGCCAACAAACGAAAAGCCCGTCCCCGGTTAATTACAAGGACGGCTCGCTGGCTGCTTCCGGGCGAAGTGAGTGACTTGTTGGAGAATTACACTTTTAGAGTCATTATTTATTTATTCAGACAGAGACAGTGAGCCATAAATAATACATACTTAGACCAAAGCTGCGGGCCACGTGGAAACTGGCCGTGGGCCGTGATTGGCCCGTGGACCGGACTTTGGACATGCCTGTGTAATGGTGTCTGTATAGTTGTTGTTTTATCACTTTGATTTTGTGAAATACTTTTTGATCATTTCTGAGAAATGTGCTGTACAAATGAACATTATTTACTTGCATTTCTGAGTATTTTACATCAAAGACGCTTTTTTGTCAGGCGATGGAAGAGACGATGCAGAAGGACAGCAGCAAGAGTTGTTTCCTTATCGACGGTTTCCCTCGTAACGAGGACAACCTTCACGGGTGGACCCGCGTCATGGATGGAAAGGCAAAAGTCAAATTTGTGCTTTTTTTTGACTGCGGCACCGAGGTGAGTCAGAAACTGGTGGTGACCTGTCCTTCGGTGTCTTTGGTTGGACTCTGAGCATCGTTTGTCCTCAGGTTTGCATCAACAGGTGTTTAGAACGGGGGAAGAGCAGCGGGCGCACCGATGACAACCGAGAGAGCTTGGAGAAAAGGTGCCCTCCACCCACACACACTTGTCTGATACATCATTGATTAAAGTGTTAGCAAAGTCAGCCCCAACCTTTGGCAGGGCTTCTTTCTGTGTACTTAAACATCTCATATCTGCCTATGGAGCTCCCTCTGACCCATTTAAGTTGCTGCTGAGTACCTGCTTAGGTGTTTTTAGCCTCATTTGCGTCTCCTTCCAGCCCCTGGTGACGTGTGACCTGAATAACCGGCAGCGTTTCTCCTTTAACACAGAATCCAAACCTACCAGCAGTCCACACGACCAATCATTCAGCTGTACGAGAAGCAGGGCAAGGTGCGGACTGTGGATGCGTCTCGTCCTGTGGATGAGGTGAGTCGAAGGCATCCTTTTGTTCGTTAAAGCGGCGGGAGAAGGGGCGTGGCCAGTGGAGCTGGGGAGGGGCACGTCTAAGCCAAGCAGTAATTTTAAAGAGATAACGGTCGTTTTTTCCAAGGTAACCACTTTGTTTTTAACGTCCCAGCAGGAAGTTGATGGGATCAGAAGCATTGACCGATGGGACAACTGTCTCATCATCTTTTCTCAAGGTCACTTTAAGACTCCGCACAATGATGACGAATCAAGTCTTGACCAAGCAATTGGTGTATCGGGCACCTTGCCAGTACGGTTACAACTAAAACTATCAACACAACAACTAAAGACGGCCAAAAACGCCGCCATCACTTCGATGAACTACAATAATTATAGAACCAATGGTTTTCTATCAATGAAATAAACAAAGATGGATAAACCGTCCGTGACCCAGGCTTCTGAAGCTTTGACTTGAATGGGCAGGTCTGATCACTGCCAACTTGGCCATGTCAAACCAAAACAAACCCAACACAGCACTGGGTCTCGGCTGCTTTTATTTTGAAAAGTGACACAGCACACGAACCAGGCGCGTGACCTAGGTAAAATGAAGCCTCATTTCTCACACGGTTTTCCATGAAACGACGCAAGCTTCAGATCAAAGCTTGGGTGTGTATATACACGTATATACGATGGTATATACGATGGTATATACACACCTCGAAGCCTCGGCTTCATAAGTCCCATCACAGCTAAACACGTGGTTGGGTCTTTTAGCTCCGTTCTTAAGGAGACAAATTATGCAAAACTAACATTTTACATCTATTTATGCTGCTATGTGCGTCTCTGCTGCTCATATGAACACTGTGTCAGTGTTTTAAGTCAGGGTTTATGAGCCGTCTCAAAAAGTCCTCATTAGTGAGGTCACAATGTGCAAAAGAGCTGCTGCTGGAGGCAGAGTTAATTTTGTTGAGAAAATATTCTTTTTCATTTTGTAAAACTTTAATTTTTGTGGACTAAAACAAAATTAGCACTAAAAATGTCTGTAAAGCCTTAATTATGACAAATATTGATCAACGTAAAGACCATTTTGTTGTTTATTAAAGCGCGACAACGAAAATTGACAGTAATGAAAATTAGGGGTGCCCCAAAATGAAAATCCTTGGCTGAAACACCGAAAGAAACGATGTCAATAATAAGAACCATAGGATTAGAGGGACTGTAAAATTAACATTTAGCCCTCTGGGGTCCACGGACGCGAATACGTGTCTTTTGAACGGGTCTGATTTGGGACGCTGTAGCAGCAAGACTCCGCCTCCCTGAGTTTCGGTTTCAATTCAGCTTTAAAAGGGAGATTATAAACTACACCCCAGTTTTTAAATTGTGTCAATAGGCACGTAAACGCGGAGTTATACTAAACTAAAAAACGACCTAATTTTAGACAATCTGATAACTTGTCAAACAGCAGTTTAGTAATCCGTGAGAGGGAATGTGCTTGTGAACATAAAAACATGAGATCCTATTGCTGTTGGTGGAGGTCTCACATATTCAGCTGGTAAAAAGCATCATTATGTAGCTGAGAGAGAGAGGAAGGCTGCACGAGTAACGAGATGTGCGCAAAAAGGAGCCGCTTGGCGGGAAAGGAGTGGCGCGAACGGAGTAACAACAAGCAATTAGACAGATATTAACGGTAAACTTCATATTTTGGAGCGATCCGGACAGATATACTGTCTCTGCAGTTTAGTAGGCTTTTATTAGGCTTTAATAAAGGATGATGAGAAGGATAAATGTCCACCAGGCAGTTCAGATAGTACGGCTGTTTTTTGAACTGGAAGCAGAGGAAGTGGGCGGAGACTCACAGCCGGAGTCTGAGGCAAATGGCGAGGATGTTGATGACGATGTGGCAGATCCATCCTTCCTCTTAGAAGAGTTGGGTCATGATGAGGTAGAGGATGAAGGCAGAGATGCAGCTCCTCGGAGATCCAACAAGAGGAGTGGGCGGCGCCACGCAGCTGTCAGATCTTGATCTCCGCGGCGTGAGACAGAGCCACTCTCCACTCCAAAATGCATGTACATTATTGCCAAATTAATAAAATAAGTATAAATACAGATAGTCCAGGTTGTCCTGAAAACAATGATACCTCATAAGGCAATATTTATTGTTTTTATTAGAAAATACAAAAGAAAAACCAAAATGAGTCAAAAACTGTGATTTACACCCTGGACCCCAGAGGGCTAATAATTTGTTTAAAAATGTGTTATTTGCTATATTTATTGATATTTTTTATAAATGTACAGTCTAGATGACCATTCTAAATTACAACAAAACATTCTTCATAAATGTTTGTTGGTTTCACAGTAAAATAAACAACTTTTTTCCTATTTGGATTTTGTTTTTGAGTGATTTAAGGTCTAATATGCAACCCCTTTATGTCATAATATAAAAAATTAGTATAAATTCATAAAGTCCAGGTTGTGCTGAAAAGATTGATACCACATAAGACAGAGGTTATGGTTTTTATTTTGGAAATGCAAAGGAAAACTAAATTAGTCAAAAACGGCAAATTACACGCTGGACCCCAGAGGGTGGAGCACCAAAGTCGCAGTATTGTGTTTATACTTTACATTATGTCGATGTTTACACCAGAAGATGGCGGAGACGTGTAGCTTCAGTCTGAGCAACACTTTTGGGTGTTTCTCTTGAAAGTTTCTGAGTTTATAGAGTTTGAAAAGTGACCCCACAGCAGCAGCGGAGCGTGTGTGCTTCATGAGCGTGAACGCGCCTCACACGCGTGGTCCAAAGCGTAGTTCACCGTGTTCAGGACACGACGGGCGTAGGAAGGGTGGTAAAAACATTGCTAATAGTGCCTGACGTAGCAGGAATGTGAAAGAAGGAAGAAGAAAACACTGGGAAGATGCGGTCGGTGGGAAACTGAAGATTGAAAGTGTGTCACATACATGATGTGAATATTCCAGCGACCGTAAAGGAACTGCATTACTACCTTTGGAAAAACTTTATTTTTGAAGTCAGTCCAGGTTATTTTTATGAGCAAGTTCCCACATGAGTGATGAAACGGAGACGGGGTCCACTTCTTGCTACGCCGCTGATGCGGAGTCATGTTTTTTATTTAAAATAGATTTTAGCTCCGTGAAAATCAGAATACGATGCTCTACTCTGTTGTCTTGCAGGTGTTTGCTGATGTGATGGACCTCCTGAACAAAGAAGGTAGAGTTCCTCCCTGAACTCAGAAGCATGGGTACTTTATGGAAAGGTTTTACTCTTATCTTACATTTTAAAGCTTGTTTTTGTTCTTTTCCAGGTTTTTTGCTAAATTAAAAGCCATCCTACACAAAGAAGCTTGAGCAACATTCATAACCTTCTACTTTATATGTTCATATTTTTATGTTGGATTACCTTTGATTTCCATGTCTTTTGTAAGCGCTACACAGCATCTGTGTGTGAGACAGTGAGTGAGTGAATGAATGAATGAATGGGAAGCTTCTTCTTCATCACCTGGCTCTTGTGCAGAAGAGCTCACAGCTGTGTCTCCTGTCTCTGTCTGAGGCCTTAGCGTCCAACTAATCACCCTTTATTTTAAAATGATGATGTTTTATTTTGTCAAAGGCAATCAGACCTGGTCATTCTCCCTGATGTCATCAGGGTGGTTTTGTCTGAGCAGCGCTTAAGGTGTGAGACCACGGTTGTGCGTGTAACCTGGTGAGGAGAACAGAAAAGTCCAAGGTCCTGATGGAATACCAGCATCTTCTGGGGCACTAAAGACGGTGTGACCGCTGCCATGTTGGGACGTCGGCCATGTGAAGATGAATTTAACCTCTCTAGCTCCACCTGCCACACAAGTTATGAGTAAAAATGTAGATGGAAATGTAAAATATGAAGGCTCTTTGAGATGAAAGCATAAAGTTGAAAGTTCAAACTAATCTGGTTTTCTGCACCTTTTTCCAGTTGGTGTGTTTTTATATCGGTGTTGAGTTTCATATCCTAATCCACCAGCAGGGGGCGCCTGCTACGAGGTTAAGTGTGTGTTGTTTTTAAGTTCATCTAAATACTTTATTTCATACAATCTCTGTTTGGATTTTATTTCGATTTAGCATTAATTACTCTAATTCTTTTATATCAACTGATGGTTTTGTTTTTTTAGGTTAAACCATTTCTGACTGATCTGACCGCCTCAGAACCGGTTTAAATCAGTTGGAGCCAAACGGGGTGGGTTTGCATCGTTGGTGGTCTCTTGTCTGGTCAGAAGCTTCTAGTTTCATTTACTGAACGGACCAGGAACACAATGTTAGATACAGCAGATCTGATCAGTGACGAACAAACATGCTAAAGGGGACTTGTGAAAAATCCGCTTCTTTAGCCCTTCAGTGTGTGTATTTTAAAACTAGGTGTGCTAAAAATAATAGATTGGTCACTTTAGTTGGTATTTAGAAGTTGCAGTATAAAGTTTGTCATATTTTCAGCCCGTTCAGTTGTAGAAATTCTCTGTTACGCATTTTATTTATTTTTTGCTTCGTCACAGTAGCTGTGCAGCGCTGCACGCGCTCGTCTCCGATCACCATGAACTCTGGAAGGGAGGTGGCGCGTGCCAAACGCCTGGGACAGTTATTACATCAACAACGTGGGATCTGTAAATATCGGTGTGGACAAATCTGTAAAAGAAAGGAGGAAAGAAAAAAAAACGGTGTAAAAAGGACAGGAAAGAGAATACCAAGGCTGTGGCAAGCCGTTCTAACATTTAATCAACACCACAACCACTCTGTAATTCCTGTTTTAAATCATTTGTGTTTTAGTAGTACTAATTGTATTCTTATTAGTCACAATTGCTAATGAAGATAACAGAAATGTTGCTACTAGTATAAATTATGGTTGACCTAATTCTGACCAGAGCAGTTTTTATAGATATCTTCAGAGATCTTTCAGAAGCCACAAAGACCTTTGGTGGCCTTTTTAACATTTATTGGACACACTGGACACCTGCAGCACCAATCCACCTACCCATCTCACGCTCCATCTTTCCCTCACTCGTGAACAAGACCCCGAGATACTTGATCTCCTCTACTTGAGGCAGGATCTCGTCCCTGACCCGGAGAAGGTGTTCGACCTTTTCTGACTCAAGGCCATGGTCTCGGATTAGAGGAGCTGCTTCTCATCCCAGCTGTGAAGCACTCAGCTGTGAAGCACTCCAGCGAACGTCGGAGATCACGTTCTAATGAAGCCAACAGGACTTTGAATTGTCAGCAAAATGTGCAGAGATTATAATTAGGTGGTCTGTAGATCATGCATTCAACTGGTTAAACTGGTCTCTACTGGAACAGCTTCAGAGGAAGAGTCAACGTGATATAATGTAAACTAGAAATAATAAACCCCCACCCATTCTTATCCTTTTACAGGTTACCTTTATCTCTAACCATTTTCAAGCTACAACCTTTTGAAATAGTCTTGTTAAAATAGAACATTTCTCCCAAAAAAAACCTCTTCCACTCTTCTTCTGCTCCTCTCATTTTGCCCCAAGGCTAACTACCAAGTCCTCCCGCCTGCTTTCAACTACCAACCCTATCAAAAGCTGCAGTGAGGCCAAGCATCACCAGGACAGATGCTTTACCTGAATCAGTGTTGAGAGTGGTAAATAAGTTTTACCTTCTCGTAGTTCCCTCTCCTAATCCAACACCACATTTAGTCACTTGTACTTATTTACTCAGATGAAACACGATTCATTCCTTACTAATTAACCATTTGTCTATTGATTCAGAATGTCTTAAACATCTCATTAAATCACTCATTGTGATTACACATCCCATAAATGACACATAAAATCAAACTCGTGATTATTTTAGCAGCTTTTAAGCAGAAAAAGGTTATTGGCTGCGTGTGCGCTTCCTGCTTGTGTCATCGTGGAAGACGGGCTCTGAAATCAGTTGTTTTGGACCAAACTGTGAGGAACTCCGAGGCAAACATCTGGTAATGTTTAATAGCTTTTCTTCAGGGTATCTGCAGGTTTAAGGGAGCCAAATTTAAGACTTTTTAAGGCCACTTTGACCAAATTTAAGCTATTTTAAAAATTTAAGCTATAATTTCCAGCTATTGCCTGGAACCGGTGCTAACCACGTTGCGAACGTGGGATTATGGATTAGCCATCCAGTTACCATTACACTTCCCCATGGCGCACGCTCCCACTAGCTTAACCAGCTAATGTGCTCATCTAAAAATAGCCCCCTTTCACAACCAACTGAATGTGTACAGTTCCGCTTACGCCAACTTGCCAATCAATTTCCCTCCAGGATTAATAAAGTGTTTTTGAATTGAACATCATACACCCAAAATGCTGAACACCAACTAGAAATTCACAATTTTTTTATAGAAATAAAAGAATCTTGTTTATTGGGTCTTTGGTAATTTAAGACCTTTGGAAACTGTATTTAAGGATTATTTGTCATTTTTAAGGATTTTTAGGGCCTTAAATTTGGAAAAGCAAATTTAAGGCTTTTTAAGACTTTTTAAGGACCCGCGGATACCCGGTTCTTCAAACATCAGATGATTATTAATACATCCCGTCTTACTCAGATTAAAGTTTGATAATCTGAAAAACTGAAATACACAAATGCTCCACAATACAAATTTTCTTTTCTTTTATATATATATAGAAATATATATTCAGTCTGCCATTGCAAAGACATTTGCTGACATATTCCTGAGTCTTTTAGCTTGATGCCTAATGTCTGTACTTAACGCTCCTCACCCTTCGGATTATGAGCTTTCCATCCAACAGCCCCTTAGCATGCACACACATTACTGCACAACACGGCCACGTACCGCACTAAACACAGATGATTACAGAGGCAATCACATGGTCACAATTAAACTGCATTAACTGTCAGTCTGGGGAAAAATAATCCAGTAGAAAAGTGTAATTGTAAGGCACTCAGAATGTGCTAGAGGTCAAGAAGCATAGCGTTGGTTCATCGGGATCCCAGCTGGGAGGACGGACGGCTGCAGCACCGCGTCAGCAGAAACAACACGGGAAACAAACACATAAATAAAACAGAAAAGTGCTGGGAATGGGCTTTCAACGTGCTGCTGAGAACATGGAAATCAAGTCAAAAGTAAGAACATGTAGAGATTACAGCATCATGAGTGTGTGCAACACATACCAACGTCAACGTGACCGAAATTAAATTACGTACAAAACGTCTGAAAGAAGTGACTCTGCATTTTTACATCATGTACCACAAAGTATGACACGGCTAAATACGAACCCCTCTGGTTACGGACAGAGAAGCCTGTGAGAAATGTACCAAACGCAAAGATTTCTGCACTCAGAAAAATATATTATCTTATTTACATCGACAGCCTGAAAAAACGGATCACAAAGGCCAGAGCGAACGTGTAACAGCTGATTCTGAACGGATACGGTGGCGGCCGTCTCATTCCCGCTCAGATTCACATTCAGGGTCTACATTCTGTCAAACATTCTAAACAAAAGCACAGAGGGGGGTTACCTTTCAAAATAAAACTCTTTAGCCCTTTTTAGAAGACACACCAAGATGGCAAATCAGCGCAGTACCGCCCCCACGGTGCGTCTTCGGAGCGCACCACGGGGCTTGGTGATGCAGGAGCTTTGCAGCATTCGTGCCACAACGCTGGGCAGTAATCCTGCCGCAACACCAGAGGCGTGAATGCACACTACGCCTTGGCGCAAAAGACAGGTGACGTGATCACGCGGGGGGTTACTGCCGAGCGCCGGCCAGCTACAACATTAAAAATGAAATTGGCAACAAGTTTAGCTTTTGTTACCAGAATCAGCCGAGATGATCAACTGGAGCGATGCAGAGCTCCAGAAGCTTCTCTCCCATTAGAGCTGGAGCTCAGATCCCCAGAGACTGCACGAGGACTGTGGAAGAACGCCGTGTCAAAAAAGCATAAGGAGAGCGGCTTCTGCCGCAATAAAAACCACGGCAGCGCAGAGACCGCCTCTTTACCGCCATCGCATCATTTCTCGTCAAAAGGACATTATTGCGCCACATTACCGCCACGGTCTGACCACCGTAAGCCTAATTTATGACTTCTCCGTCTCCTGGGGAAGCAATTCCCCGCCAGGACAGCAGAGGGTGCTGTTCTGTGGTATCCTGTCATGTTTCCAGTCCAAGATGGTGCATTTACTATTGTGTTTCTATTTCAGAGACTTTTTAACACGGACACATTTGTCCCCCATCCTCCTCCTCTAAACCCACGTTTCCCGTCATTTCCGCCCAGGAATAAAACGTTGCTGCGTAGCTTTATACTCATCCACTCACGGATGAATAAACGTTCATATTTTCACAGTTTTTCTGTGAGGTATTCTTCAAGCTACTCCAGGTCTGCCAATAGATGTCGCCGGCTCCATTTTTATCTGGAGGCGCTTTATAAAAGACCTTTCCCTTCCTTTCTTATTATTTACTTTCTTTTGAGAAGGCAATGAGGTGCTCTTGAGGAACCGGATGGAAGCGGCCAATCACAAGCTTGTGTTCCGTCTCTTTGGACATTTAGAAAAGTGGGCTGGACTCCGTCCATCCTTGCGAGCCTGTTGGAGCCCTCGTAATGACGAATAACGCAAGCATAGAAGCATAAGTTAGGCTTAAGGCTGCCAGACGCCGGCTCAGCCCTGCAGCAAATTAGCGCCACCATTTTCTAAAAGAGGTTTGTGAAAGAGCTACAACTAGGCCATGGCGTCATTTACCAGGCTGACGTCTTTTTAAGTTTTCTGTCTGGGAAAGTTAAAATCTCATCGATGCAGAGTGGTCGGTGACGCCCAGACAGAAGCGGGCTCAGCAGGAAGTGGTCAGGCCTGTGGAGAGGTTTCCCGGAGACCGGCGGGCCTTGGTGTTGGTCACAGCGCCGTGTTTCTGTCGCAGATGAAGCCTGAGCTGGCTCTTGTGTCTGAAGTGAAGGTCACATTTCTCACACTAAACAGAACAGAGATATCTTTTAGATGCAGCCGGTCACACGGGGCGCCGTGGATGATCAGCGGGACGAGGTCAGCGCTTACGTGATAAGGCTTCTCTCCCGTGTGAATGCGCATGTGGCTCTTGAGCGTCTGAAGGTGGCGGAAGTGAGTTCCACAGATGTCACAGGGGTAGGGTTTCTCTCCTGTGTGGATCAACACATGAGCACGAAGGTGTGCCACCTGGAGGACAAACCGACATTAACCACCAGGACCTCTCCCGCCAAACGTTCCCTAGTCCCCGAGTTGCTGTTCCTACCTGAACAAAGCGGGAGCCGCATGTCTCACACTTGTAGGGCTTTTCCCCAGAGTGGATCCGGGTGTGGGTCTTCAGGTTGGCTGGTCGGTTGAACTGAGCGCCGCAGGTGTTGCAGCGGTATGGCTTTGCACCTGGAAGTTTGCAGAAGCAGGCTGAAGCATTAAGAAAACCAGCTTAGTGTGCCGCTCCGGAGCAAAGACCCACCTGTGTGAACCGTCTTGTGACTGGCCAGGTTGCCCTTGTAGCGGAAGGCGGCCTGGCAGCAGTCGCATTTGTACGGCTTGTCGCTGTGAACCTGAACCATGTGGTCTTTCAGAGACTCCTCCTTGGGGAACTTGCAGTCACAGCCGTTGCAGACATAATTATTTTCTGCAGGGAAACAAGCAAACGTAAGCATCGTGCAATTTTACGACCATGACGACGGAAAAAGGTGTGAAGATGTGGACTCCACCCACCACAGCTGGAGGGAAAGTAATCCGAGTGGATCTTGGTGGCCTCGTCCGAACTGAGCAAGCCAGGAGATGAATGGTTGTTGTCCATGCGCTGAGGGCTGTCACAGCTGGAGGAGGAGTACCTGTGAGGAGGACAGAGTTCCTTCAAAAGGAACGTCTTCCTGTTTTCATCATTTGTGTCGGGAATCTGCATTTTACCTGCTGCTGCAGCTCAGCTCACTCCGAGAAAAAACCACCTCTTCCCCGTTGTCTCCCTCTTCTGCGCGAGGCTCCTCGGGCCCCCCTATAGCCTCGCTCCTGGAGGGGCTCCGTGGGGGAGATGCTGCCCCCCCCTCAGCATGACTTCTCTGAGCTTCCCTCTCGCTCTCGTCCGGAGTCTGGTTCATAACAATGAACTTGTATTTCTTCCAGTTGCGGGCCCTGGTGTCTCTGAGGGAGGCGGGCGGCTGCTTGAGGCTCATGCTCGCGTTTAAGCTGCTGCTGGACTCGGTGGGTGAATTTGGGTGGCAGTCGGATCTGAGGGGGCTCTGGGGACTGCAGATCACACCTTTGCTGTAGCTCTGGGCAGGTCTGAAGCAGCTGCTTTTGGGGTGCTGGAGGTCGTCTCCCTCTCTGGGGGCGGTGAGGTCATGAGCCGGTGCTGGTTGGATGAAGCTGTTCTTCTGAGAATATTCTAGAGTCCCAGCTGAAGCATGAGGGTCACCGTAGACATGACAGGAGCCAGTGGTGTTGATGCCTCTGAAGACGGTGGGGATGCAAGCCCCCCGCTCTTGGTGAGGAAGTGATCTTCTCAAGCTCGACTCTATCTCTTCAAAACATTGTTTAGCGTCATCGGCCGTGTTAGCCAAGTGGTGCCGTATCTCTTCCAGCTGCGTATTCAGAGACTGCTGCCTGTGAAGAGGAACTCAGTCAGATTCATCGTCAGGATTCGCTCGGATTTCACAAGAAGCAACACAGTTGTGGCCTCCTACGATTACCTGGACTTGATGAATCTGTGGCAGGTGTCAGCCACATGCTCCATCCGTAGGTAGAGCGCTGCGTTCAGGGTGGCGAGGGCCAGGCTGTCGCTAAGGTTCAGACAGGAAGTGTACATGAAGTCCAACAGGAGGGAGAAAGCTTTAGGATCTACTTTGGAGTCCAAGCTGATGGCATTAAGGTTTGTGTTCTCAGGATGCATGAACACAGAATAGAAGAAGCCACTGCAGAGAGACAGAAACCACAGAGGCTAAGCGGAGGGAGGCATGAAGTCCTCTCTGGACTGGAGCAGCTGACTTCAGGCCGTTTACCTGCAGGCCACCAGGATGGTTTTGTGGGCATGAAAGAGCCGTCCATCCACCTGTATGGTGACATCAGTCAAGATGTTGCGGCTGCGGAGGCGGTTGAAGTTGAGCAGAACGTCGCCAGGGTGACGTGTGAATTGGATGCAGCCATCTTCAGTCATGGCCATGCTGTCTCAATCTGTGCAGAGATAAAGCAAACGAACATCTCAGCACCTTTATACGTGCACACACTGGTGTTAAGGTTTGTGTCACTATTGTTGTAAGAATATATGCCAACCGGTTTTTGTTCTGGTCCACATCTGATGGAGATTACCATGCGTCTTTTTGGTGGGGGTAATTTGGATTATCAAATAAAAAATATTGCAAAAGATTTTGAATAGATTAACATTGTTTAAGCATCCCTTTGCTGTTGGTGGAAATCCCACTTATGGGATGCAGAGGGACAGAGGAAGCTGTGCTCCGGACGGCGGCTGTGATGTGATGTCACTGAGCTGTGGAGTAAACGGTGAGACACAATTCACGGCTAAAGTTCAGATACCGCAGAGATCGGTGACAGATGGCTACTTCTCTGTAGTTTAGTGAGTTTACATACAAAGGAGGATGGGAAGGACGAATGTCCAGCAGACAGATCAGCTGTTTAGCTGCAAGCCGGGAAGAGAGACCCACAGCCAGAGACTGAAGCCAAAGCGAGGGTTTTGAAAATGATCCTTCCTCTTTGAGGAAGATGAGCTGACACTAAAGAGTCATTACAGCAGCACTATTTCATCTCTTCAGCTTTCTGGTGGTTAGCGGTCTGCTGAGTGACGTGTTCTTGCTGGAGGTGCGCTCACACCGCAGCATGTCCGGTTGGAGAGAGACGCTGTGCCGTCTGACACACAGAAATCTTGCTCCGTACAACGTGCCGCCTCTACGGAGTTCTCAGTGTCACATGAACAATCCTGTGCAGCGGCCCAAAATTGCAACGTGATCCCGGCATCATGGACATATTTTGACTAATATGACTTTTATTTTGACACATGTCCAGCAGCGGAAATGACATATTTGATGCCCATTCTGATTGGTTGGTGACATGCTACAGAAACCCCTCTAAGGTGTTTTGTAGCCCAAACCGAGACACCCCCACAGCTAGCCCAACCCTGCTCCAGCAAAGAGGAAAAATGAATGCAGGTCAACGGGTCGATAAAAGCCATTTTCTGAGCCTGTTTGTTATGTGCCGTGGATTTGACATAAGCTGTCTTAACACGTGTGATCCAGGGCGTAAGGCAAAGCAGATTAAAAATAGCTCTTTTAGCCCTGTTCAGCGCTGCTCTGGGCGGCTGCATGTTGGAGTAGCTCTGTTGACTATATGTAAGTTTAGCCTTTTTTTGGACAATTTTTCTTCTAGTTTCTCAAGAAAAACGGTATATTTTTGGACATTTAACTTTTCCGTTTCTGGTGCTGTGAAGCTTAGACAATTTTTACTGCTATTTTATCACTTTTTGAGCATTAGTTATGATGCTTAACCATGGCAACAAGCTGGTTTACAATCGGGAGCAGCTGATTAACATGGGAAAGGCTGAAATAATACCTCAACTGAAGCCACAAATCCCAAATGAGCTAAAACGCAAGAAGCGTGGCTGCAGAGCGGGAGCAAAACGGAGACAGAGAAAGAGGAAATTCAAACCATCTCTTCCATCGATCATAATGGGCAATGTGAGATCACTGGCCAACAAGATGGATGAACTCCAAGCCCTTTCAAGGACTCAGCCAGAGTTTCGGCAGTGCAGTGTTATGTGTTTCACTGACACGTGGCTGCAGGACCATATCCCCGATTCTAGCGTCTCTCTCTGCCAGGATTCCTGACTGTACGAGCAGACAGAGATCTGAAGAGGAGCGGGAAAAGAAAAGGAGGTGGAGTGGCAGTGCTTGTCAACAACAGATGGTGCCATCCAGGTCATGTTTCAGTGAAATGTCGTCTCTGCAGCCCAGATGTTGAACTCTTGGCAGTAAGTTGTCGCCCATATTATTTGCTGAGAATTCACCAGTGTTGTCTTGGCAACCATTTATATTCCACCTTCAGCCATTGCTGAAAGTGCATGTGATGCCATCAGTTCTGTTGTCGCTAAGCTACAAACCCAGCACCCCAATGCATTTGTGGCTATATCTGGTGATTTTAATCATGCCTCGCTCTCTGCTTCACTTCCAACATTTCAACAGTTTGTCAGCTGCTCCACCAGAGAAAACAAGACATTGGATTTGTGTTATGCAAATGTAAAGAATGCATACATGTCCAAAACAAGACCTCCTCTGGGACAATCAGACCACAATCTTGTTTTTCTCTGCTCAGAATACAAACCACTTGTTCAGAGGCAACCTGTGACAAGAACTGAGAGAAAATGGTCACAGGACGCTGAAGAAGCCCTGCAGGGTTGTTTTGAGACCACAGATTGGATGACTCTGCCAAGGATATGAAGAGGACATCAATGTCATGACTGGATGTGTCACTGACTACATAAACTTCTGTATGGCTATATAAACGTCTGTGTGGACAACATCATACCCACCAGAACAGTGAGATGCTTCGCTAATAACAAACCCTGGATCACCAGTGAACTGAAGAATCTGCTAAATGAGGAAAAAAAAGCCTTCAAGGAGGGAGACAGGGAATTATTGAGGAGTATACAGAACCAACTGAAGATCAAGATCAGAGACAGCAAGGAGGCATACAGGAAGAAGCTGGAGAACAACCTACAGAGAAACAATATCAGAGATGTCTGGTCAGGTAAGAAGAAGATCACAGGCTTCAAGCAGAGGAAGGATTGCACAGATGGCAGCCTGGACACAGCCAATGAACTGAACAAGTTCTTCAATAGGTTCAGTTCAGGAACAAACCCAGCATCCTCCTCGCCTGTCCCCAGCCAATCAGACATCCCATCCTCCTCTGATCCAACATTTTCCTGTCACACGCCAGCTCTTTTGTCTTCTAACACAGTCATGGACTCATCTGGTTCTATTCATCTGTCTTCAACCAAGTCAGGAGATGCTGCTGCCCCATTTATCTCCCCCTCCCACCTATCTGTCTCTAGAAGTCAGGTGAAGAGGCAGCTGGAGAGACTGAACAGGAACAAGGCTGCAGGTCCAGATGGTGTCAGCCCCAGAGTACTGAAGGCCTGTGCAGAGCAGCTCTGTGGGATTCTGCAGCACCTCTTCAACCTCAGCCTGGACCAGGAGAAGGTTCCAGTCCTGTGGAAGACATCCTGCCTTGTTCCAGTTCCAAAGAAAACTCGCCCATCAGTCAATGACGACTACAGACTGGTTGCCCTCACATCCCACATCATGAAGGTCCTGGAGAGACTCCTGCTGGTCCACCTGAATAAGCAAACTAGAACATATCAGGACCCGCTGAAATTTGCTTATCGCCATGGAGTTGGGAGTTGAAGATGCCATCATCCAGCTGCTTCAACCAACCCACTGTCATCTGGACAAAGCAGGCAGCACTGTCAGGGTCATGTTCTTTGATGTCTCCAGTGCATTTAACACAATCCAGCCTGATGAACTTTGCCAGAAACTCCAGAAGACACAGGTGGGGGCCTCAACTATCGCCTGGATTAAAGACTACCTGACAAACAGACCACAGTTTGTGAGGCTGAAGAACTGCTCATCAAACCAGGCGATCAGTAACACTGGAGCACCACAGGGGACTGTACTCTCACCATTCCTTTTCACCCTGTACACCTCAGACTTCCAGTACAAATCAGAGACCTGTCATCTACAGAAATACTCAGATGACTCTGCAGTTGTCGGGTGTATCAGAGATGGACAGGAAGCTGAGTACAGAGAGCTGGTGGAGCGCTTTGTGGCATGGTGTGGAAACAATCATCTGACCTTGAACGTGAACAAAACAAAGGAGATGATTTTAGACTTCAGAAGAAACAGGGTGGAGTCAAACACTGTTTCCATCATGGGAGAAGAAGTGGAGGTGGTTGAGGAATACAAATACCTTGGAGTTCACCTGGACAACAGACTGGACCGGAGAAAGAACAGCGAAGCCGTTTACAAGAAGGGACACAGCAGACTGCACTTCTTGAGGACGCTTAGGTCCTTCAGTGTCTGTAGCAAGATGCTGCAGATCTTCTACAAGTCTGCTGTTGAGAGTGTAATCTCTTCAGCCATCGTCTGTTGGGGTAGCAGCATCAGAAGCAGGGACCTGAAAAGGCTCAACAGCCTAATAACAAAGGCTGGTTCTGTTCTGGGGACGACTGTGGAACCACTGGAGGAGATAATGCAAAGAAGGATTCTCCAGAGAATCAAGAACATGATGGACAACCCTGAGCATTCTCTTCACAAGACTGTCCGACAACGGAAGAGTGTCTTCAGTCAGAGGCTTCTTCAGTTTGGCTGCAACACTGACCGCTACTGGAGATCCTTCCTGCCAACAGCCATTGTAATATACAACACCTCTTTGATGACTTGATTATTATTATTATTCTGAGCTACTACAGCAATCAGTTTCCCTCTGGGATTAATAAAGTCTTTTTGAATTTGAATTGAATTAAATAGCAAAAAGAAAGAAAACAGAACATACAAATGAGAAAAATAAATTCTATTCAATAACAAATACATTCGTTAACCACTTCCTGGTAGCACTGGGCACAGCCGTCTTTAAATATGGGATATCAGGGTCCTCTGAAACCTACAAGCTCACTACTCTGAATTCCTACTTCCTTTCTGGCTAACTTGTCTGGGAAAAACGAGTTCCGAGGACAACTGGAACGCACCATGATGCATATTTTCGTGCAACTCCATCAATTGCCAGTAGGGGGAGTGTATGGAGGTTCTATTTAGCTTCACCTACAATACTCAACAGAGCAGCTTTAATAGCCGTTTCCTGGATGTAGACAAGAATACATCAACACGTCCCCGCACTTAGTGATGTTAGGAAAATAACCCCATTATGAATAAATACACAACAGACACTGATTACGTCTGTGACTAAGTGTGTGGTATCATGTAAAACACATTTTTGGGTCAGCCAATCCGGACTGGTTTCAAATCAAAACACTTTGTGATGTCGTGCCTGGGTTTGGTCATCAGGGGGCGCCACTGCAGAGACGAACCGCTGTTTATTATACGTTTACAGATGTTTTATACGCAAGTACCGGGATGAGAGACGGCGCAGCGCACAGCAAAAGCAACTACTCGTTACTATCATTACTAGACTCTTTAGGAAGCGACATGTCTGACTTATTTAGGCCCAAACAGACTTCCGTCATATTGCTCTCCGTTTAGAGATGCAAACAAAAACAAAGCAGAGCCAGAAAAGTGGGTTAACTCCATAACGCGAGCGCTGGCTCAGCACACGAGGCTGGGTCATTCCAGGTGAAATGTGCGCAAACAAGAGCAGAGCGCTGCTGGTTAGCGTGTTTGACGCTGAGCACATTCCGTCCTGCCTGCTCACGGTTTCCTGTTGCCTAACTCGTTCATATTCACGTCCACGCTCAATAATCACACATAAAACCAGCCCCAGAGTTTAGTTTTACGGGTGCTTAAATAGCTGCGCAACTTCGGGCCGAAAAATCCGCAAACAGCAGGCCAGCAGCGCCAGCCCGGTGGTCAAGTCGTCCTGACTCGCCTCCGACACGCATTTATGATCGCGTCTTGATACTTCTGTCAAAACTAACGATACAAAAGCTCACGTGATTTTTCGACGACCCGAAAGTGCGCAGAAGAAAGTGGTCCTGTTGCGCCATCGCCGTAAACTTTTAACGGAACTGATATAAGCTGGCTGAAAACATCCGCCCGAGCTGCGGCTTTCCCCGGATAAACAGCCTCCTGCCTAAGCTTGTGCCTAGAATAACAAGCTGCTTGCGTGTGACAACACACACACACACACACACACACACACCAGCGAAAGGGTTCGCAAATGTGTATGTAAGACCCTGCCGGTGCATGAAACGGTCACTTCACAACACTTCTCACTGAATGCTGAGAAAATAGGAAGAGGAGGAAAAAAAAGTCACCTTATAAAAGTTTCCTCGAAACTCTGAGCATCACCGGTTCTGAGAATCCAGTTCTAAGAAACGCAGCGGCTCAATTCTCGGAATTTCAAGAGCAGGCGGAACCACCGGGAGCGGGGCGGGGGTGCTCCTCACCTCCGGGAACCAGGAACCGAAGCACCGCTGCAGATAAAACAAACATCCGGACTAAACATGACACACGAACCAGCTCTTTCATGTTTACTTTGCTGTATGGCAACATGGACAGCAAAAACGAGTCACTCTCAGGACTCTGTGAACCCCTCTGCAGTGGACGCGTCTGAGAGCAAGGTCAGCTGACCGAGTTCATATTAGGACCGCAGGGACGTCTGCAGACTCGCCCTGGGTTGCACACAGATTGCTAGAAAATCCCCCCCCCCTCCGAATCAGAGCTGTGACGTCACTTATTGTTTAGCGTGTCACCTTTACCAGCATCAGCCTCACTCTGGAAATAGAACAGAACAGAAATAAGTTCATACTTCCTCATGAGCAAGTGGTTTCTCGACAGGGGAGGACTGGTATCAAGCGTTCTGGCATAACTGCTCTGAAATCATGGACGTAATTTGGGGCGGGGGGGGGGGGTGCATGTCCCCCCCCCCACTTTTTCCAAAGTCAAGTTTTGACCCCTGCACTTTTTACCAATCAACAACAATATTACGCTATCTTAAACTGACACTGGTTGAGCTCTACGACCGAGCAGAAAACAACTGTGTTGAAGCCCGTTTCCCATTCGAACATACTTTAAAGATACCCCCGTGTCCCCCCCCCCCCCCCCCCCCACACACACACACACACACACTTCTAAAGTGAAAATTACGTCCATGTCTGAAATCGTCCTGGCACAGAAAAAGACCAAGAGAGGGAAGTCTTCAAAACACCCAGTAGAAAACACACCACCTGCTGCAAAAACTGAAATGGTGCCATTACAGCTGTTTGGCTAAAATCATAACAGCAACGTGTGATTTCCATTAGCATTCATGATTCTTAGTTTTAACTTTGTGTAACTGAGTGGCAACCATCTTTTACGTTGGACCGTGTCAGCTAGCTGTTGGGACCATCTTGATTCAGGTCAAGTCCATCAGTAAATCGTGTGGTAGGACACCAAACTTTAGCTTAGGAAGAAGAAGAAGAAGAAGAAGAAGAAGAAGAAGAAGAAGAAGAAGAAGAAGAGATAATTTTTAAAGCGCCTCTCAAGATAAAAATCACGAGGCGCTTCGCAAAAACAAAAAATGTAAAAATATAAAAGAATTTAGAAAATGATTCAAAATATGTTTCAAATGAGCAAAAAATAGACAATTGTGATTAAAAATGTTAAGAAAGAGGGTGACTAGGAATGAGGGAAATCAGTGGATCCTGAGGAAGGTGGAATAGAAGAAGAAGAAGAAGAAGAAAATATCATTTCTATAGCGCCTCTCAAGATAAAAATCACGAGGCGCTTCACAAAAACAAAAAATATAAAATTTGTAAAAATATAAAAAGCATTTCGAAAATGTTTAAAATATATCCAAAATGAGCAAGAATAAGCGATTGCGATTTAAAAGAAAAAATGTTAAGAAAGAGAGAGAGTGAATAGGAAAGAGGGAAATCAGTGGATCCTGAGGAAGGTGGAATAGGTGGGGAGAGCAGAATAAAGAGAGAGAGGTGAAGAAGGTCATACAAAAGCCAGCTTGAACAAGTGAAGCTTGGTTTATGCTTGACGCGTCCGCGTTGGTTTATGCTTGACGCGTCCGCGTTGGTTTATGCTTGACGCGTCCGCGAGGTTCACACGGCTCCGCGCAGCAAAATTGCGTCATTTTAAAAACCACGCCCCTCCACCGCACCTCTGCACGGCCCAAATTTTCCACACCGCACACCTAGGAAATTTTCTAACCACGCGGACGGTCGGATGCGGAAAAACATGGCGGACCGGCAAGAACTAGTATGGCAGAGGTTGGTAAATACAGACATTTGTATGATTCAGCTCTCAGAGATCACCGTGATCAACATGTTGTTAATAATTCTTGGAGAGAAATAGCTCGCACTGTCGGAAAAGACGAGGACGCTGTTAAAAATGCTGGAATGCCATGTTGTAAACAGTCATTTCTACTTCTACTATGGTGTAGTGTTGGATGCATGCCATAGAGCTCTATGCTGCCCCCTGCAGTTTGGGAGAATATTGGCTCACCGCAGAGACAAGCCGCATGAACCATAAATGCTACAAGTTGTGAAGCGCGTTCCATCCGCGAGCCGCATCACCAAGCGGAAAGTGAATGCGTCAAGCATAAACCAAGCTTCAGTCTTCAGCTG